CTACGGAAAAAAAATGTAACAATGAATATATGTATGTTCATGTATAACTGAAAAAATTGTGCTCTACACTGGAATTTGACACAACATTGTAAAATGACTGTAACTCAATAAAAAAATGTTTTAAAGAAAAGATTTCTTGTTTTCCTTCTTTCTGAAAAACTTACTTTAACAATTTTTTAGAGCAGGTCTACTAGTAATGAATTCTCTTTGTTTTCTTTCATCTGAGAAAATCTTTAATTTAATTTCACTCCTGAAGATTATTTTCATGTGGTACAGAATTCTGGGTTGACACTATTTTCTTTCAACATTTAAAAAATATTTGCCACTTTCTTCTGATCTCCTTGATTTCTGGAGAACCTGCAGTTTATGAATCCTCCTATCCCTATAAGTAGTGTCATTCCTCTCTGGCTCCTTTCAAGATTTTTTTTTGACTTTATTTATCAAAAGTTTGATTATGATGTGTCTGTAGATTTCTTTTGGCTTATTCTGTTTGTGGTTCACATTCTGTTTTGGTTTCACTGAGCCTTTTGAATCTGTAATTTTAATGAAATTTGGGGACTATTCAGTAATTATTTCTTAAAATTGTTTTTCAACACAGCCTTCTTTCTCCTCTCCAGGACTAAGATGAGAAGAATGCTCAACATTTTGTATTGTCACACAGGTGGTTGATGTTCTCTTCAGCTTTTTTCCAACCTTTTTTTTTCCTCTATTGTTCAGATTAGGCAGTTTCTACTGATCAATCTTGAACTACTTTTTCCTCTGTTTTATTTACATGTGTATATACACACACATACATACGTACATACATACATACACACATACACACACACATATATATACATATATATATATGTACAACTATTGAATCAACAAATTAGGTTTGTTTTCCCTTAAAGCACAGTTTAAAATGATCACCTCCTGATTTATCTTAATTTCTTTAAAACAACTTTTTTTGAGATATATGCACATCCCATACATTCACCCATTTAAAGTGTACAATTCAGTGGCTTTCAGTATATTCACAGAGTTGTGGTAACATTAGCACAATCAATGTTAATTTAAGTATAGTCAATTTACAATATTGTATTAGTTTCTGGTGTACAGCATAGCAATGCAGATATTTACATATAAATATATATTTATTCCTTTCACATTCTTTTTCATTATAGGCTATTATAAGATTTGGAATATAATTCCTTGTGCTATACAGTAGGACCTTGCTGTTTATCTATTTTATGTAGAGTAGTTAGTATCTGTACATTTTGAACTCACAATTGATCCCTCCCCTACTCCTTTCCCCCATAGGAACCGTAAGTTTGTTTTCTGTCCCTTATTTGTGTTATTTTTTTTAGATTCCACATATAATGGATATCATATGGTATTCTTTCTCTCTCTGGCTTCCTTCACTTAGTATGATGATCTCCAGGTCCATCCGTTTTGCTGCAGGTGGCACTAATTCATTATTTTTATGGCTGAGTAGTATTCCATTGCATGGGTGGGGTGGTATATGTGTTATATATATATAACAACTGCTCATTGCCAAAAAGTATCCCATTGTATGTATGGATACATTACATTTAGTTGGTATATCCTTCATCAGATGATGGACATTTAGGTTGTTTCCACCTTTTGGCTATTATAAATAATACTGCTGTGAACATTAATCTATAGGTTTTATATAGACATATGTTTTCATTTCTCTTAGGTATATACCTAAGAGTGGATTGAATAGGTCATGTGTTAACTCTAGTTTTTAACTTTTTCTGGGACTGCCACACTGTTATCTAAAGTTGTTATACCATTTTACATTCTGGTCAGCAGTGTATGAGGGTTCCAACTTTCCTGCATCTTCACCAGCACTTCTTCTTATCTGTCTTTTTGATTATAGTCATCTCAGGGGATGTGAAATGGTGCCTCATTGTGATTTCAACTTGCATTTCCCTGATCACTAGTGATTTATCTTTATATGTGTTTTATAATGATTACTATTTAAAATTGTAGTAAAATTTTATAAAACACCTAAAATTGTTTTATTGATTTATAATCATTTTACAATGTTGTGTCAAATTCCAGTGTAGAGCATAATTTTTCAGTTATACATGAACATATATGTATTCATTGTCACATTTTTTTCTCTGTGAGCTACCATAAGATCTTGTATATATTTCCCTGTGCTGTACAGTATAATCTTGTT